ATTTCTCAGCCTGCAAAAAAGCCAGTACTCTTCAATGAGACAAAAAGAGGACTGTTTAATCCTACGTGAAACAACCTGATGTTTTTAATGGAGGTTTCCACTTTGTTTATCATAGTGGGATCTATCCCTTTGTCCCAGGAATGCACACAATTTCAGAAAGCCAAAGAAAGTTGTCTTAGAAAGCCCAGTCCCTTTGCTCCAAATGCTATAGTTAGCTATATGTCATCCATAGAAACATTGTAATTCAAGTGGGCTATATGGGAATATTTCTGAAAATTTTATTTGCTTATATCTATCTTTGGGCCCATAATCTCAGATCCCAGCACTGATCTTTCAAAATGCCAAATTCAACAGCTTGGATCATTAGCACACTTTGAATTCTGTTATTTGACTTGTGCAAATGTGAATCCTGTCCTTTGGATAGACACTTTCATGCTGTAGGGAGAGTGGGGCAGGGAAGGGGAGATATTTTAAATACAATAGGACAATTCCAATGTTGTGTACAGTGTTGTAACTTTAGTGAAACCGAATAGACTTGTACCAAGCTTGATTGACATGAAAAATTTGCCCGTGTGAGAGGTTTATCATTAATCCATATCTCTCTCTGAAATGTCATTTCCCCTGCAATATTTCTTAACAAGTTTGCTCACTACATGCTCAACTTTGAATTGTATATCTTCTCTAAGAGCCTAACTTTCTCCTCCGTGATTCCATACAGAAATCCTGTTGAGGAGGAAGAAGAGTCAAAGCTTTGGGCAGCCTCTTTCTAGTTTGCACAGGCTGCCACTTGGCCATTCAGGCTGCATGACTAACAAGGTTACAGGGAGATTCTTCGCTGAGCTCTGGGATATTTTCAGACCCTCCTGGCCTCTGCTATCTGTTGGTTTTTCTCTTTTATTTTGGATCTCTCCTCAGTTCCACAGTGCAGTTTGTAATAAAATTGATGGTAATTAGTTGTCACAGTTCTTATCATAGAAAATGGGTTTTATCTGAAGGTGTTAGGCTGGAGAAGTGGAAGGGCATAAATGGGGCTCTAGCAGAGGTGACAGTAAGATTAAATGCAAGTGAGGAAAAGAAAGGAGAAAGACTGGGTTTTGAGGAAGAACTGAATGTGTGAGGAAAAAGCAGAGGAAAAGGAGGAAGGACAATCAGAAGGGACGCAGGGAGAGTAATAAAAGAAGAGACAGAGAAATTGAAATGCGGCAGTATGGGATGCCACAGACGTCAAAAAAGTGATCAAATAGAAGGAAAAGCAACACCAGAATTAAAAACAAATTCTAACAATAAGTTGAATGCCAAAATGCTACCAATCCCTATCAATAACACTACTGTATGTTGTGTTGCTTTCCATTGGTGTAACATATGCATCAGGATCGATGCTTCCAGCATCATGTTTTATCACACACCTTTAAATACTTAATTCTTTGTCAGTAGAAACCTTTTGGGTACACAGCTATTTAGGCTTTTGGTCAACTCCACTCACATACCCACAGGGAGTCTGTTGCCTTTGTATGTATATGTCACCTTCTATGTATATGTTGATAGAGGAAGAGCATTTGCTCTGCAGCAGCCTTATACTCTCCTGAAATGACATGTCATAATTGCAATGTAACCTGTAACACATGCAAATAGAGAAGCCAAACTAAGGTTTCACTGACAACCTTAATTTTGGCATTTCCCAGCTTTCAAACACATTAGTTCGCAACCTCGATGTTATTAACATAGATTCTTTTCTCTAAAAATGTAAACAATACTTTGCTTCTCTCTGATGTATTCTGCCTGAGAATTTGGTAGTGTTCTATAAACGTTTTTATGAATACTCATGAGAGCAGCCTTTTGAACTAACTGTTGCCATTATTTCAGCTTTTGAAATGAATACATGCAGAGATCATGCTTTACTGAGAGTCACACAGGATGTTGGTGGATCAGAAGTGAAAGTCTGTAGCTTCTACATCCTGACCTGTGTTTTGACCTTCATCCACACTTCCCTTTCAGCTAATAAAGTCCTTTTTAAGATCACAGAAGTGCAGTTGTGACTCTGCCTAAAGCCATCTCTCAACCACAGTAAGTCTGAACAGGATGCTCATTAACCAGTAGCATCCCCAGTCAGCCTGGGGTTCACTGCAAAGGGCCACGTGTATACTTTATGAATAATAAAATGGACTGGAAAAGCTTGAATAATGCAGGTAAGGACTTCTGTAAGAGCTATCTGAATTACTAATGACAGAGCATCATTCAAGTCTTGTTAACTGAGTTTAAATTGTTTCTTGCGTGTTTAAATTGTATGTTCTTAATTGTTCTTATGTCATTAAATTGTTTCTTAAGTGTCTGTCAGTAAAGGTCTTCTGTGCATCTGTAGTGGTTTAGGCCCTGCCGGGAGCAGAGACAACGTTGCCATTGCCCCTCCCCCACCCTCAGACGGTCAGGGTTGGAAGTTAAGCACAAACCCCGGAGTTGAAATAAGGAATGATTTAATACAACAGTGTAATAAATAAAAATCTGAACAACAGCAATAGCAATAACAACAACAATAAACAGTAATAACAGTGAACAAGACAAAATATATACAGAGAAATACCACAGTGAAAACAACCAGCCCACCACGTGTACTTCCCGCAACCAAAGCCACAAAGGAAAGCTTCCCGCACTGGCACGGCAGACATGACATCAGCATGGTATGAATAACCTGGCTGGAGATCCCTTCCCCCTCTATGCTGGGGAAACTGAACCCTATCACAGCTGAACCATGGCATAAACCACCCCTTTATTCTATACCATCTGCATCATGTCCAGATGCCATTTAGCAGTTAACAATAACAAAACAACAATTTACAAAGGCACAGTCAAATTCATGGCATGTTCTCATCAAGTCCCCCTGTGGTACCCATCAGACCTCTCCATTGTCCTGCATCACCCACTAGGTACACCCAGGTCCTTGAGCAAAAGCAATCCCATGGATGGGTTTGCCTTTACCTTTGCCTGGCACAGGACTAAACCAGACCATTTTTCCCAATATATTCCTCACGCGCACCACAGGGACTTTATCCCCATCTACAGCACGTGGACGTTTTGACCGAGCCGGGCCAGCTTGACTAGCAGATCCTCTTGTGTTTACTAGCCAGGTGGCCTTTGCTAGATGCATGTCCCAGTCTTTGAAGGTCCCACCTCCCAGTGCTTTCAGTGTGGGTTTTAACAGTCCATTGCAGCGCTTGATCGTCCCAGAGGCTGGTGCATGGTAGGGGATACGGTAGACCCACTCAATGCCGTATTGTTCTGCTCAAGCATTGATGACGTTGTTTTGGAAGTGTGTCCTGTTGTCTGACTCAGTTCTCTCTGGGGTGCCGTGTCGCTACAGAACTTGGGTTTCAAGGCCCAGGATGGTGTTTTGGGCAGTGGTGTGTGGCGCTGGGTAAGTTTCCAGCCATCCAATGGTTATTTCCACGATTACGAGTATGTGGTGCTTCCTTTGGCAGGCCTCTGGCAGTGTGATGTAGTTGATCTGCCAGGACTCTCCGTATCTATATTTCAACCATCACTCTCCATTTAGCTGGGGCTTCACCTGCTTGGCATGTTTGATTGTATCACGTCTCACATGCGTGGATGATCTCTGCAATGGTGTCAATAGTGAGGTCCACCCCTTGATCTCGAGCCCACCTGTATGTTGCATCTCTACCTTGGTGGCCCGAGGTCTCATGGGCCCACAGGGCTATGAACAGTTCACCTTTGTGCTGCCAGTCCAAGTCCACCTGAGCCACTCTAATCTTAGCAGCTTGGTCTGCCTGCTGGTTTATGTCGATGTTCATCAGTGGCCCGACTCTTGTGTACATGGGCATCCACATGGCGCACCTTCACAACGAGGTTTTCCACATGGGCTGCAATATCCTGCCACACCTCAGAAGCCCAGACGGTTTTACCCTTATGTTCCCAGTTGCTCTGTTTCCCTTGCTGCAGCCATTTCCACAGGGTATTCACCACTGCCCATGAGTCAGTGGAGAGGTAGGGCCTCGACCACTTTTCCAACTCAGCAATATCCAAAGCAAGCTGGATGGCTTTCACCTCCGCAAACTGGCTCAATTCACCCTGTCCCTCAGCAGCCTCAGTGACCCGTCGTGTGGGACTCCATACAGCAGCCTTCCACCGTGGATGTTTTCCCACAATATGACAAGACCCATCAGTGTACAGGGCATATCGCTTCTCCTCATCTGGCAGTGCGTTATATGGTGGGGCCTACTTAGCACGTGTCACCTCCTGTTCTGGTGACATCCCGGAATCTTTGCTCTCTGGCCAGTTTGTTATCACCTCTAATATATCTGAGCTACCGGGCTTCCCTATTCGAGTCCATTGTGTTATCAACACAACTCACTTAATCCATGTGGCATGTGTTGCATGATGCATGGAGGAGGCCTTTCCTTTGAACATCCACGCCAGTACCGGCAGGCAGGGTGCCAGGAAGAGCTGTGTTTCAGTGGTGACCACTTCTGAGTAGCCCAAACTCCTTTGTATGCTGCCAGTATCTCCTTCTCAGTTGGTGTGTAATTAGCTTCAAAGCCTTTGTATCCCCAGCTCCAAAAGCCTAGAGGTCAGCCTCGGGTTTCCCCAGGTGCTCTCTGCCAGAGGCTCCAGCTAGGGCCATTCTCTCCAGCTGTGGTGTAGAGCATGTTCTTAACCTCCTGCTCTTCCCAGACTGGCCTGAGGGCTATTGCTTGGGCAATCTCCCGTTTAATCTGTTCAAAGGACTGTTGTTACTCAGGGCCCCATTCAAAATCGTTATTCCTAAGGGTTACGAGATAGAGAGGGCTCACAATCAGGCTGTAGTTTGGGATGTGCAACCTCCAGAACCCCACAGCGCCCAGGAAAGACTGAGTCTCCTTTTTAGAGGTTGTTGGAGCCATGGCTGTTATCTTGTTTATCACCTCCACTGGGATGTGGCGACGCCCATCTTGCCATTTTATTCCTAGGAATTGAATTTCTGTTGCAGACCTCTTAACTTTTGCTTAATGGCAAAGCCAGCCTTCAGAAGGATTTCAATTATCTTCTTTCCTTTCTCAAAGACTTTCTCGGCTGTGTTCCCCCATACAATGATGTCATCAATGTACTGCAGGGGTTCTGGAGCCCCACCTCTCTCCAGTGCAGTATGGACCAGTCCATGGCAAATGGTGGAGCTGTGGTTCCACCCCTGGGGCAATCGATTCCAGGTGTACTGGATGCCTCTCCAAGTGAATGCAAACTGTGGCCTGCACTCTGGCGCTATCGGGACGGAGCAGAACGCGTTAGCAATGTCAATCGTGGCGTACCACTTGGCTGCCTTTGACTCCAGTTCATACTGTAGCTCAAGCATGTCCGGCACTGCAGCACTCATTGCTGGCGTAACTTCATTCAGGCCACGGTAGTCCACAGTTAGCCTCCATTCACCATTAGGCTTTCTCACTGGCCATATAGGACTGTTGAAGGGGGAATGAGTTTTGCTGATCACGTTCTGGCTTTCTAGTTGATCGATCAGCTGATGGATGGGGACCAGGGAATCTCTGTTGGTGCGATACTGCCACCGGTGCACCGTCCTGGTAGCAATCGGCACTCGCTGCTCCTCGACCTTGAGCCGCCCCACCACTGAGGGATCCTCTGAGAGGCCGGGTAAGGTGGACAACTGTTCAACCTCCTCCAGGGCTGCTACACCAAAAGCCCACCGGTACCCTTTTGGCTCTTTGAAGTACTCTCTCCTGTGATAGCCTATGCCCAGGATGCACGGGTCATCTGGGCCAGTCACAATGGGTGCTTATTCCAGTCCTTCCCAGTCAGGCTCACTTCAGCTTCCAATAGGGTCAGCTGTTGAGTTCCCCCTGTCACTCCGGAGATATAGATGGATTTAACCCCACTGTAGCTCAGTGGATCAGGGTGCACTGTGCGCCAGTGTCCACCAAAGCCTTATATTCTTGTGGGTCTGATGTGCCAGGCCATCATATCCACACTGTTCAGTAAATCCGATTGTCCCTTTCCTCCCCCTGCCTGGAGGCAGGGCCCCTCTAATCCTGCTCAGCAACACTCACTTCTTGTGAGAATGCTTCCTGCAAGAATGATTCACTGGTCCCCTCAAGAGGGTCAGACATAACGTTGGCCATTCTATTCTGTCTAGGGGATTTCTGACTGGACACTGGAGCTGCACTTTTCTTGGAGGACTCCCCTTTTGTGATGGTCTTCCCTTTCAGCTGCTCTACTCGTGCAGCTTGGGCAGCAGTGGGCTGTCCGTCCCACCTCCTCATGTTTGCTCCAAGGTCGTAGAGGAAAAACCACAGGGTGCCCGTGGTGTGTAACTTCTGATGCCTTTCTCTTGGGGGTGAAACATTTACTTCTAATGGCTGAGACATTGGCCCGTGCAGGTGAATATAGGACATGTCCTCTTCCACTTTCTAGAGCCTTGGAGACAGTTCCTTTATAGCTGAAAACCAGGAATGTTGAGATGAAGGGAGATTTCCCTCATATTGCCAGAGCTTGCCAACCTCTTCATCCACAGTTTGAGTGTGGGTTTCTGTCCACCAGGACACTATTGCCAATGCTTTTGAGTGCGCTTCTGGTGTGCTCTTCAGGAACTTTCGCCACATCAGGTGTGTGCAAGGGGCCTGATCTGGGTCCATGGGTGACTGCTCATTATTCAGATCACCATAAATCTTATCAAACACGGCCAGGTCCCTGAGATTCTGAATGCCTTTCTCCATGTTGGTCCATTTGCTTAGCTGACATAGGATATCATTCTTGTAGGGGTACCTCTCCGTTACACTGAACAGGAGTCTCCTTCAAAGGCTGAGGGTTTGAGTCTGTTTCCCTATTTCCCTATCAATGCCAGCCTCCTTGGCCAAAGATCCAGCTGCTTGGCCTCTCTCCCCTCCATCTCAAAAGCACTGGCTCCATTGTTCCAGCATAGGAGCAGCCAGGTGCAAATCTGCTCACCTCCCAGGCAGCTGAAATATTTCCGCATATCTCGCAACTCAGTCGGGGATAGAGATCGGATGATCACAACTGGCCCTTCCTCCTGATCCCATGCAGGGCCTGGCTCATCCCCTTCCCCCACTTTGTCAACTGACTTTCTGGTATATTTTGTTTTCTGTATCGGGGCGACTGACACTGGCACTGGCTGGCTCTCTGGCTCAGTCACTGTGCTGGTGGAGGTGACTATACTGACTCTGCCTGTCCCCCCGCCCAGCTGCTGTACCAGTGAGTTCACTCTCAGGTCCTGCAGCCCTTTCTCCCCCTTGAGGGCAGTGAGTGGTATTTAAAATGACACGGTAGGCACGGGCAGGTCCCCTACACATCGCAGAGATTTGTGTCACCTGGGTTTTGCCGGATTACTAACACACCCTTTCTAAGCACTCCACCAGTTTATCAGGGCTCTGCATTTGTTTGGGAGTGAAATTCCAAAGCATTGGAGGTGACCACTGACCCAGTCATTTGCCCATCTTTTCCCACACCCCTTGCCCCTCACTATTATCTAACCTCGAGGCAGGTTTCTGGGTACTGCTATTGTTAAAGAAATGCCGCATGGCCAAGAACAAGATCTGGCAGGCATTCAGAAGGCATTGTGCCCCAAATACCCTGGCCTGAATGCCCCAAGGATAATTGAAACTCCCCCAAAGCCAAGAGGATCTCTTCCCCTGGCTCGCCCATAGAGGGGGTGAGACCCCTAACAAAAGCCAAGGCAGCAAACAGCTACCAGCCAGCCGTCCTCCCACCCACCCATCCCCCCCCCCCACACAGAGCGATACAAACACATTATAAGCAGTCAGTGACCAGTATAACAAAACAAGCCCCTTTATACCTTTATACATTTCCCAACAACATCAAAAACCAGCACTGGAATCACACAGTGGATATAAGGAATAATCCAGCCCCACCACACAAGCAAGTGGGCCAGCATTGCAAACATTTTCTTATCAAGCAGTACAAATACAAGCAGGAAGAAAAAAAAAAAAAGAAATGTACCCAACAGATTGCTCCAACACACTCTGGTCATGGTCTGTCCCTTTTTGAACCTTATTTCATCCCTCTTGTGCCCCACGTTGGTTTGCCAAAAAAGGCTGTGATAGTTTTAGGCCCTGCCAGGACAGAAGACCACGTTGCCATTGTCCCTCCCCCACCCTCAGCCGGTCAGGCTGGAAGTTAAGCACAAACCCTGGGGTTGAAATAAGGAAAGATTTAATACAACAGTGTAATAAATAACAATCTGAAAAACAGCAATAGCAATAACAACAACAATAAACACTAATAACAGTGAACAAGACAAAAACTATACAGAGAAATACTGCAGTGAACACAGCCAGCCTGTTGCGTGTGCTTCCCGCGACCAATGCCACAAAGGAAAAATCTTCCCACGCTGCCACACCAGACCTGACATCAGCATGGTATGAATAACCCGGCTGGAGATCCCTTCCCACTCTCTGCTGGGGAAACTTAACCCTATCCTAGCTGAACCAGGACAGCATCATATCGCCTTTTGATAGAGCAGCCTCTGTCTTTGCTAAGCTAATTACGTATGTTTTAATCCTGCCTGATAAACAGAACTCCCCTTGTTCTTACCACAGTTCACGCCTCACTTGTTATCTGGTAGACTTCTTTATTTCTTTTGTCAAGATATAAAGGCCTCTTCTTCCAAGGCAAGAAATAATAAGCATTAAAAACTAGTACAGAGTGAAACTTTCGCTCTGTACAGGCAAAATACTTTATGAATTCAGAGCAAACAATTTTTTTTGTTTGCACTCACTCACCTATTCACTCTGTTCCTCTCCCTATGGCCTCACATCTGACTTTTACCGATTCCCATTTCCTAAGAGGTATCTGTAGTGTTTCCATCTCTAAATGCCTTCACAGAGCTTTTCCAGACTGTCTTTCTTGACTGTCTCCAAGAATAGATTTTTCTTCTGTCTAGACCCAGCCAGCTTGGTAGTGTACCATCCCTGGAGCACAAGACAGTGTTTGAGGTTGCTCTGAGCAGCCAGTGGTAGTAGCAGCAGCAGCAGCAAAAGGAGCTGGGCTGCATGTCCTATGGCTTTGTCTATCATGAGTAATAGGAATGTGTGTCACCTCAGCCCTCACCCAGCAGTGGCCCTCCTCCACAGTTACAAACCACTTTGTGAAGATTGTTCCTCTTCTGAAACAGACCTGTCTTGATGTCCTGGTTCAGCTAGGATAGAGTCAAGTTTTCCCCAGCAGAGAGAGAGGGGGAAGGGATCTCCAGCCAGATTATTCATACCATGCTGACATCAGGTCCAGGGGCGGAGCCTTCTTACTTTCACTTCTGGTTTGGGGGTTGCCATACATGCGGCGGGCTTGCTCCTTGACCATTTTGCGGTATTTCTCTGTATATCTTTTGTCTTGTTCACTGTTATTGCTGTTTATTGTTGTTATCATTGCCACTGCTGCTATTCAGATTGTTTTATCACTCTGTTGTATTAAATTTTCTTCTTATTTTTAGCCGGGGTCTGTGTTTAACTTCCAGCCCGACCAGCTGCGGGTGGGGGAAGGGAAACAGCAACGTGCTCTCCGGTCCCGGCAGAGGTAAAACCTGCACATTTTAAATTGGCGCCCAACGTGGGGCAGACCCTGACCAGAGTGTGATAAAGCAATCTGTTGGGTGTAATCTTTCTGTTTGTATTTGTGTTTGTTTGATAAGAAAATGTTTGCAATGCTGGCCCATTTGCTTGCGTGTTGGGGGTGGATTAATCCTTATATCCAGTGTATAATCCCAGTGGTGGTGTTTGTTATCGGTGGAAAATGTGTAAAGGGTCTTATGTTGTTATATGGGCTATTGAATGCTTATAATGCCTTTATATCTCTGTGTGTGGGGGCGGGCTGGTACCTGTTTGCCATTTGTGCTTTTGTTAGGGGTCGCACCCCCTCTGTGGGTGAGCCAGGAGAAGAGATCCTCTTGGCTTTGGGGCAGTTCAGTTCTCCTTGGAGCCTGAAAGCCAGCGTGATAGTGGCACTATGCCTTCTGAATGTCTGCCTGATTTCGATTTTGGCCATGCATCATTTCTCTAACAATAGCAGTGCCCGGAAACCTGCCCCGAGGTCAGATAATACTGAGTGGCAAGGTGTGTGGGAAAAGATGGGCAAAGGCCTGAGTCGATGGGCATCCCAATGCTTTGGAACTACACGAATGCAAAGCCCTGAGAAGCTGATGGAGTGCTTAGAAAGGGTGTGTTACCAAGCTGGCAAAAAACAGGAGACACAAATCGCTGCAATGTGTTGGGGACTTGCCCATGCCTACCGTGTCCTCTTTAATACCACCCACTGCCCTCAAAGGGAAGAAAAGGCCACACAAAAAATATCTGAAGTGGGAGCACAGGCAGAGCCAGTCTCAGTTGCCTCCACCAGCACACAGACTGAGCCAGAGAGCCAGGCAGTGACAGTGTCAGTCGCCCCGATACAGAAAACCAAATATACCAGAAAGTTCGCAGAGTGAGGGATGAGGATGAGCCAGGCCCATCAGGGGAACAGGAGGAAGGACCAGAGGTGATCGTCCGATCTCTGTCCCTGACTGAGCTGCGAGATATGTGGAGAGATTTCGGCCACCTGGGAGGTGAGCAGATTTGCACCTGGCTGCTCCGATGCTGGGACAATGGAGCCAGTGCTTTTGAGATGGAGGGGAGAGAGGCCAAGCAGCTGGGATCTTTGGCCAAGGATGCTGGCATTGATACAGAAATAGGGAAACAGACTCAAACCCTCAGCCTTTGGAAGCGACTCCTGTTCAGTGTAAGGGAGAGGCACCCCTACAAGGATGATATCCTATGTCAGCTGGGCAAATGGACCACCATGGAGAAAGGCATCCAGAACCTCAGGGAACAGGTTGTGTTTGCGATGATCTATGGTGATCTGAATAATGAGCAGTCACCCATGGACCCAGATCAGGCCCCTTGCACACACCCGATGTGGCAAAAGTTCCTGAAGAGCGCACCAGAAGCGCACTCAAAAGCATTGTCAATAGTGTCCTGGTGGACAGACACCCACACTCTAACAGTGGATGGAGTGGTTGGCAAGCTCTGGCAATATGAGGGAAATCTCCCTTCATCTCAACATTCCCTGGTCTCAGCTGTGGAGGAACTGTCTCAGAGGGTCCAGAAAGTGGAAGAGGACATGTCCTACATTCCACCTGCACGGGCTGATGTCTCAGCCATTAGAAGTAAATGTTTCACCACCCAAGAGAAAGGCAGCAGAAGGTACACACCATGAGGCACCCTGTGGTTTTTCCTCCGAGATCATGGAGGAAACATGAGGAGGTGGGATGGACAGCCCACTGCTGCCCTAGCTGCACAAGTAGAGCAGCTGAAAGGGAAGACCATCACAAAAGGGGAGTCCTCTAAGAAGAGCGCAGCTCCAGTATCCAGTCATAAATACCACAGACAGAATAGAATGTGAACGTTATGTCTGACCCCTCTTGAGGGGACCGGTGAATCATTCATGCAAGAAGTGAGTGATGATGAGCAGGATTAGAGGGGCCCTGCCTCCAGCCAAGTAGAGGAAAGGGACAATCGGATTTACTGGACAGCGAAGATCTGATGGCCTGGCACATCAGACCCACAAGAGTATAAGGCTTTGGACACTGGGACACAGTGCACACTGATGCCATCGAGCTACAGTGGGGTTGAATCCATCTGTATCTCTGGAGTGACAAGGGGATCCAAACAGCTGACCCTACTGGAAGCTGAAGTGAGCCTGACAGGGAAGGACTGTCATAATCACCCCATTGTGACTGGCCCAGATGACCCGTGCATCCTGGGCATAGGCTATCACAGGAGAGAGTACTTCAAAGAGCCAAAAGGGTACCGGTGGGCTTTTGGTGTAGCAGCCCTGGAGGAGGTTGAACAGTTGTCCACCTTACCCGGCCTCTCAGAGGATCCCTCAGTGGTGGGGCGGCTCAAGGTTGAGGAGCAGCGAGTGCCGATTGCTACCAGGACGGTGCACCGGTGGCAGTAATGCACCAACAGAGATTCCCTGGTCCCCATCCATCAGCTGATCGATCAACTAGAAAGCCAGAACGTGATCAGCAAAACTCATTCCCCCTTCAACAGTCCTATATGGCCAGTGAGAAAGCCTAATGGTGAATGGAGGCTAACTGTGGACTACCGTGGCCTGAATGATGTTACGCCAGCAATGAGTGCTGCAGTGTCGGTCATGCTAGAGTTCCAGTATGAACTGGAGTCGAAGGCAGCCAAGAGGTATGCCACGATTGACATTGCTAACACGTTCTTCTCCATTCCAATAGCGCCAGAGTGCAGGCCACAGTTTGCATTCACTTGGAGAGGCATCCAGTACACCTGGAATCGATTGCCCCAGGGGTGGAACCACAGCTCCATTTGTCATGGACTGGTCCATACTGCAATGGTGAAAGGTGGGGCTCCAGAACACCTGCAGTATACTGATGACATCATTGTATGGGGGAACACAGCCGAGGAAGTCTTTGAGAAAGGGAGGAAAATCATTGAAATCCTCCTGAAGGCCGGCTTTGCCGTTAAGCAAAAGAAAGTTAAGGGTCCTGCAACAGAAATTCAATTCCTAGGAATAAAATGGCAAGATGGGCGTCGCCACATCCCAGTGGAGGTGATAAACAAGATAACATCCATGGCCCCACCAACCTCTAAAAAGGAGACTCAGTCTTTCCTGGGCGCTGTGGGGTTCTGGAGGATGCACATCTCGAACTACAGCCTGATTGTGAGCCCTCTCTATCTCGTAACCCTTAGGAATAACGATTTTGAATGGGGCCCTGAGCAAAAACAATCCTTTGAACAAATTAAGTGGGAGATTGCCCAAGCAGTAGCCCTCAGGCCAGTCCGGGAAGGGCAGGAGGTTAAGAACATGCTCTACACCACAGCTGGAGAGAATGGCCCTAGCTGGAGCCTCTGGCAGAGAGCACCTGGGGAAACCCGAGGCTGACCTCTAGGCTTTTGGAGCTGGGGATACAAAGGCACTGAAGCTAATTATACACCAACTGAGAAGGAGATACTGGCAGCATACGAAGGAGTTCGGGCTGCCTCAGAAGTGGTCGGCACTGAAACACAGCTCCTCCTGGCACCCTGACTGCTGGTGCTGGGGTGGATGTTCAAAGGAAAGGCCTCCTCCACGCATCATGCAACCAATGCCACGTAGAGTAAATGGTTTGCGTTGATAACACAATGGACTCGAATAGGGAAGCCCTGTAGCTCAGATATATTAGAGGTGATAACAATCTGGCCAGAGAGCAAAGATTCCGGGATGTCACCAGAACAGGAGGTGACACGTGCTAAGGAGGCCCCACCATACAATGAGCTGCCGGATGAGGAGAAGCGATATGCCCTGTTCACTGATGGGTCTTGTCATTGTGGGAAAACATCCACTGTGGAAGGCTGCTGTATGGTGTCCCACACGACGGGTCACTGAGGCTGCTGAGGGACAGGGTGAATAGAGCCAGTTTGTGGAGGTGAAAGCAGTCCAGCTTGCTTTGGATATTGCTCAGCGGGAAAAGTGGCCGAGGGTCTACCTCTACACCGACTCGTGGGCAGTAGCGAATACCCTGTGGAAATGGCTGCAGCAATGGAAGCAGAACAACTGGCAATGTAAGTGTAAAACCGTCTGGGCTGCTGAAGTATGGCAGGACATTGCACCCTGTGTGGAAAACCTCATTGTGAAGGTGCGCCATGTGGATGCCCATGTACACAAGAGCCGGGCCACTGATGAACATCGACATAAACCAGCAGGCAGACCAAGCTGCTAAGATTAGAGTGGCTCAGGTGGACTTGCACTGGCAGCACAAAGGTGAACTGTTCATAGCTCGGTGGGCCCATGAGACCTCGGGCCACCAAGGTAGAGATGCAACATACAGGTGGGCTCGAGATTGAGGAGTGGACCTTACTTTTGACACCATTGCAGAGATCATCCACGGATGTGAGACATGAGCTACAATCAAACATGCCAAGCGGGTGAAGCCCCAGCGAAATGGAGAGCGATGGCTGAAATATAAATATGGAGAGGCCTGGCAGATCAACTACATCACACTGCCACAGACCCCCCCACAGGAAGCGCCACATGCTCACAATGGTGGAAGAAACCACTGGATGGCTGGAAAATTACCCAGCGCCACACACCACTGCTCAAAACACCATCCTGGGCCTTGAAACCCAAGTCCTGTGGTGACACGGCACCCCAGAGAGAATTGAGTCAGACAACAGAACCCACTTCCAAAACAACGTCATCAATGCCTTGTCAGAAGAACATGGCATTGAGTGGGTCTACCACATCCCCTATCACACACCAGCCTCTGGGAAAATTGAGCGCTACAATGGACTGTTAAAAACCACACTGAAAGTACTGGGAGGTGGGACCTTCAAAGACTGGGACATGCATCTAGCAAAGGCCACCTGGCTAGTCAACACAAGAGGATCTGCCAGTCAAGCTGGCCTGGCTCATTCGAAACCTCCACGTGCTGTAGATGGGGATAAAGTCCCTGTGGTGCGCGTGAGGAATATATTGGGAAAAAAGGTCTGGTTTAGTCCTGTGCCAGGCAAAGGCAAAGGCAAACCCATCCACGGGATTGCTTTTGCCCAAGGACCTGGGTGTACCTGGTGGGTGACGCAGGACAATGGAGAGGTCCGATGTGTACCACAGGGAGACTTGATTCTGGGTGAGAACATGCCATAAATTATGCTGTGCCTGTGTAAATTATTACTTTATTATTGTTAACTGCTAAATGGCAGCTGGACATGATGCAGATGGTATAGAATAAAGGGGTGGATTATGTCCTGGTTCAGCTAGGATAGAGTCAAGTTTTCCCCAGCAGAGAGAGAGGGGGAAGGGATCTGCAGCCAGGTTATTCATACCATGCTGACGTCAGGTCCAGGGGCAGAGCCTTCTTACTTTCGCTCCTGGTTTGGGGGTTGCCATACACGTGGCGGGCTTGCTCCTTGACTATTTTGTGGTATTTCTCTGTATATCGTTTGTCTTTTTCACTGTTATTGCTGTTTATTGCTGTTATCATTGTCACTGCTACTATTCAGATTGTTTTATCACTATGTTGTATTAAATTCTTATTTTTAGCCGGTGTCTGTGTTTAACTTCCAGCCCTACCAGCTGCAGGTGGTGGAAGGGCAACAGCAACGTGCTCTCCGATCCCGGCAGGGGTTAAACCTGCACACTTGATATCCTGTCTCTTCTCTCTGCTTTGCATCCTCTGTCATGTGCATTGGGAGTGGTAGATAGGCTGATAGTGTAAAGTAGCCTTTGCTAAAGTAGGGGGTAGTTTGAGGTGTAAAACCTGATGTCAGGATCATATTTCTACCTGTGTACTTTGGAGCTTCTGACTTCTCTCCACTTTGTGATGAATGGCAGGAGGAGGGAAAAGGAGGTGTGGGAAGCCACCTTGGTTTTGTTAAGGGAAGAATGCTTAATGTACAGTAAATTTCTCATATTTCCAACTCATTCTGGCACACGTTTGCCAAGATTTAAGAGTTATAGGCCCATAAGTCAAATACCTTGCAAAATAGGTTCCTTTATTCTCCCATTTTTCACCTGAGCTTGTAAGCAGACCCCATATATCTTTGGGTCACTCTGCAGTACAGATTTCTTCCATGTTCTATTCTGTTCCCTTATGTCAGTTGAACTCTAGCAGAGAGGTGATGTATGAATATATTTCATCAAAATAAACACGCACAGAGCCTGGTGGTGGTGATCAAACAAAAGCTGTATCACAGATACAGCATGCCAGGAGGTGTATTCAGATTTTTTTCTGGTTATTACCCAGTGGCTCCTATGAGCAGCACCAAAACTGCTTTATCACAGCAGATACACCAACATCTATCATGTTAGCTACATGGCCCACACCCTGTCATTGCTCCAGTGGCTGAGTGCTTCACAGCATGTCTCTTCCCTTGAAGCCACACTCAGAAGAAGATAAACGTTCCCACCTCTGTTTCATGGTGGGATAACTGAGATACCACCAAGGTAATTAATTTACCCATGGGACTGTTTTTGAGGATTAAGTATGACTAGGAAGAGAAGGCATCCACCTGATAAATAGAGATGGATAAAAAGCAGAGGCATTCAGTGGTTTGTTTTTTTTTTTTTTTTTCCTCAGTCTTTAATATTACTGATAGACATTGGGCTGCCTGGTCCTCTGAGTTAAAGGACCATGGCTGTGGGAACAGTGACATTAGGAAACATTTCCATACCAAGAGGGTGGTCACACATTGAAACAGGCTTCCTAGAAAGGTGGTCAGTGCCCCAAGCCTGTCAGTACTTAAGAGGCTTTTGGACAGGCAGTTGGACTGGATGATTGTTGTAGGTTACTTCCAACTAGCTATGCTATACTACTCTTCCATTGTGAGGGTGGTTGACCACTGGAACAGACTGCCCAGAGAGGCTGTACAGCCTCTACCCTTTGAGATATTCAAAACTCAACCAAGCATGACCCTGAGCAACTTTTCTGGTCTGAGCAGAAGGGCTGAAGAAGACCAACTCCAGAAGCACCTTCCAAACTCAACAGCTCTGCCATTCTGTGCTTCTGTGGGTCATGCAGAGCTCTTGGGCTGGGGCCTGGCTGAAGATTTCACCACAGTGTTAGTGGTGAAGTAACCTTAAAATGCCTTAATTTTCTTAGAAGTGGGAGGCAGCAGTGTTGTCCCTCAGCACAGACTTTTCTTGCTTTAGATATGTTTGGGGGTTTAGTGTTAGGTGAAAGCTTATGGCCCAGTGTATGCACTCATCTATCAATTTTTAATAAAGCTGCTAGTGGTTTTTTCTGTACTGTTATGGCTGTTAGGGAAACACCCCATCTTCACTGGTTTCTCTGAGCAACCAAACACCAGGCCACATAAGGAGGGAGGATGCTCAGTCAGATCTATATGTTCAATGGCTTTTTAGCAGGTTGTGAGCTGAATATTAAGCTAGTTCCCACTGTTCTCTCTGCTATTACCCCAAAACACTACCACAGTCTTTAGTAGGTGCAATGACTTTTTTTGAACACCTTTCAGCATTTTTCCCCTGCACCCGCTCTCTGAGAGACCTGACACAGAGGTGAAATGGCTTCATGGCTCTGTTGGGTTTGTGTGTGGTGGGGTTTTTGGTAGCAGTGGAAGGGCTACAGAGGTAGCTCCTGTGACAAGCTTCTAGAAGCTTCCCCGGCTCCAAGTCAGACCCACCTCTGGCCAACGCTGAGCCAATTAGTGAAGGTGGCTGTGTCTCTGTGATAATGTATTTAAGAAGGGGAACCTGAGAGGAGGGGGAGAGTAAGGGAAATACCTATGTGAACACCAAGATCAGTTGAAGAAAGCAGAGGGAGGTGCATCAGAGCAGAGATTCTCCTGCAGCCTGTGGTAAAGACCACGGTGAAGCTGTCTGTCTCTCTGCAGCCTATGGGGTCAGTGGTGGAGCAGATACTCACCTGCAGCCTGTGGAGAATGCCACACTGGAGGGGATGGCTGCACCTGAAGAAGGCATGTTTCTATAAATTGAATAACAGCAAAAGGAGGATTAGGGAAAATCTCCCTCCTTTACTGGATGCAGAGGGAAACATGGTAACAAAGGGTGAGGAAAGGGTTGAGGTGCTCAATGCCTACTTTGCCTCAGTCTTTAGCAGTGGAACTGGCTGTTCCCTGGACACCCAGTC